TCTACCTCAGTTTTAATGAATAATTTTGTTGTGGAGCGAAATAAAAGTGAGGTAAATTCCATTTTTATTGACATTTCATAGCTTCTGAATTTGGGTACTCGCTACCCATAGTGTGTTATTAAAATGTACTCAAAGTGGCTGCAAATTTTTAGCCTACATTTATTGTGTAGATGCAATATATATATAAAAAAAAAAAATCCTCGTCTCACCCATCGGGTGGTGTCCATCCCTCATTCAGCTCGGGTCCTCTACCAGAGGCCAGGAAGCTTGAGGGTTCTGCGCAGTATCCTTGCTGTTCCCAGCACTGCACATTTCTGGACTGAGATGCCCGATGTTGTTCCCGGGATCTGTTGCAACCACTCATCTAGTTTGGGGGTCACTGCCCCGAGTGCTCCGACCACCACGGGCACGACTGTCACCTTTACCTTCCAGGCTCTCTCCAGCTCCTCTCTGAGCCCTTGGTATTTCTCGAGTTTCTCGTGTTCCTTCTTTCTGATGTTTCCATCACTTGGGACCGCTACATCCACTACAATGGCTTTCCTCTGCCCTTTATCTATGATCACGATATCTGGTTGGTTCGCCATTACCATCTTGTCAGTCTGGATCTGGAAGTCCCACAGGATCTTCGCTCTGTCATTCTCCACCACCTTCGGAGGTGTTTCCCATTTTGACCTTGGGGTTTCCAGTCCATACTCTGCACAGATGTTTCGGTAGACTATGAGCACATATAAAATGAGCACACATATATATATATTGCACACACACACACACACACACACACACACACACACACACACACACACACACATTTTTCACCGTGATAATTGTAGAGAAGGACATTGAAGGAAGTGGGCTAACTGTTAGCTAATCTGTTAACCGCATTGCATTCATATTTTATTGTGTGACTTTTGGGACACATACAAACACTCAACACAACTAAATGCTCCTCACTTAGTGTTCAGTTTCTGGCTGCTTGCTAATGGGTGACTGTTTCATTCAAGTAAAATGAAGCTTCACCCCTTACTTCAACATTTAGCTCATTGGAACCATGATGCCATAAGATGACATCAAAGCAGTATGAAATATTTGGCAGGACTTATGCCTGAGCATAAAAACACCAAAATAGGTGAAATTGTCAGTGAAAGAGAATGGGCTCACAAAACAATTTGCAGATTGGCGAATTTGCGAGTAGCGAATCTAATTGCAATTACAGTACAACCAACCCCTATTTAAAGCCGTAATAGAGCAACGTCTATCAACGAAATGTGGACCGAAACAAATTCAAGAGTCCAAAGTCCAGGGCGTGCATTACTCTTGAATTGATGTGCAGCCCTAGAGGAAGTTGAGCAGGAGCCTTTGTACTGTACTGTATGGACCTCGACTCACAAGGATCAGACCTTGCATCAGGAAAAGTCTCTGCAGTGCTCTGCTCCGCCCCAACATCCTCTCTGTCGCGGAGTTTTCACACAGGCAAGAAAGCTCGAGGAAAAAGGCCAAATTTATTCCCCGTCCGTTAATAGTATGGCGGAATAACACACAGCGACGTATCATTCGTGGGCTGGAGTTATATGAGAGCGGACTTCCGCTTCACTGCAGTAACATTCGGACTTGGCTCGGAGTGAAATAACCAACCGGACCCATGCGGATTTGAACGAGAAACGGATGATGTGTCGCTCAGACATCGCGACTTTAACCAGTAATTTCCCCAGCTCTGAAACGATGTGGAAAGAAGAATATGATGCTCACTTCGATTTTTTGCTGCAACTTCTGTAAGTTAGATGTTTTTATTTCATGAGCAATGGAACATTTTACTGTCGAATAAGTGACTTTGCAGCGTGGCAAAGTGGAAAGAGTGAGCCGCCGTTGCAAGGAAAATCACTGTCAAACTCTTAATTTTTGCCTCACACAACTAATCGCATATATTTTATTCGCATATTGGTCGATCCTGATGGCGTCTTAACCTATAGAGCGCAGCCCAGTATAATAGAATAGGATTGTACATAAATAAATGCCGGTAATAATCATCATTTCTTGACATTTGACATTATTTTTGTCTGGAAATAATTCCCTGCCCTAAAATTGTCTCCCTCGAGTCTTGAACAAGTTCTCTTTCTGCTTGTGGTTATCTTCATGAACGTACTCTGACCCGTGGTGTGGCCACCAGGCCACCAATTTGGGAAATCAATATGAGCAAACGCGACACAAAAAAGGTAGCTCGAGTTGATGAAATAGCGGGTTTAAATTAGACAGTACACATTGCAGCAGTTATTTTTGTCGACATCATATCTGCGGTCCTCATCAGTTAAAACATGCTGCCACACAATAGCGCGCATTCAAAAAAGCTTTTTTTCCGAGTTATGCGCTGTACCTTGGTGAACCACAATTTAACAATGAAATGCCCGAATGTCGTAATTGAAGATTACCCTTCATGCCAAGGGGATCACTTATTGTCCCACTCATGCTCACGAACACATACAAACATACCTTGGAGGCAGACAAGCTCGGTGTTCGTGCTCCAGCAAAGAGATTAGTTGAGTCACTGACATGCGCCATCATGTTCACTGTGTCCTGAATCAATGACACAAACGTTTTTAAGACAGACTGGTGCTCTCAGTGAGCATTTGGGTAGCACCTAGCTATGCACAGTAAATTATAGTGCCGTATTGTGATAGATAGTCACTTCCAAGCAGTTTCGTGAATTATTTTGACATTTGCAGACATTCCTTTCCTTGCGTTTGGACGGTCACGCGTACGGGTCACCAACCTCTTTGAAAGTGAGAGCTGCTTTTTGGCAACGGTTTAAATGCAAAGGGCCACCAGCTTGAGACACACTTTTGACATGAGAAATATGCTCAAATTAACTTTAATGACGTTGTTAGTAATAATTAATTGTATTGATCATTCAATGAAGACACTGATCATGTTATCACGATTTAACAAGTTACGTAACTAATAAATGTCAATTTGCAACACTTGATCTTTGCAAGTGTTTACATTTTCAAATTGTCATTTTGATTGCATTCCTAGGAAATAACAATGTCCTATTACTGGTGGTGAGTTATTTGGGGAGGGGAGCCACATTGGTGACGCCAAGTCAAGCACAATTTTTTAATTTTTTTTTTTTGTGCACCATCAATGAGATTGTATTTACTATATTCATTTGGTCTGGCAGGCAAATGCACTTTAGCTCCAAACAAAAAATGTGATGATGTTTTGCAAACTTTGTGAAAGCTCTGCCCGAGTTTGTGCAGTTAAGTATTTCTGCAAATACATTCACCCTCCTGCTCTACAGGAAGCATCTTAATCAGATTCCACCCAAGCAACTCCACTGGCTGCCCTTCAACACATAACTCTTCTAATGGTTTCACACTTCCGGATATAACAGCTGCCCACCCTGTCCCTAAGGATGAGCTGAGAACCCCGTACATGAAAGCAATTTTGGCAGATACAATCTGTTCGTACTTTAATTTGGAATAGTGAATGTCCATCTCTTGTCTACTAATGCTTGATGGATTAATGTGAATTTGGGAGCAATGTTGTTGAGGGCAGTGGCTCCGAGCATGGTATCCGAGCCATAAGTGGTTCAAGGTCATGGGCATTGTGGAAAATAATTACGGTGTTATTGAATCAGCCAAGGAAAGAAAATATAACCTTGGACAAGAAAATATAACCTTGGACGTAGCAAGATTTTGAAGGGCCTTGGATGGGTTCAGAGCAAAGGCTTAGTCAGCTGTAGCCTGCAACATGTAAAAGGAGGGCAATGGAAATATTTGTTTGTGGGTTTTTCTTTGGTGTCAGTCTCTATTCACGTGGCAGTTTCAGATTTTTTTTTCTTTTTGACGAGCTACACAATTGAGCCCTTAGAACTTGCACTTGGCTTCCACTGTATCCATTGGTATCTGGCAAATCCTAAATGATAATGGCTCGTAATGTATTGAATTTGTGAGGGTAATGCAATTGGGTTGATGTGATTATGCAAAAACAAACCTTCTGGCGAGAATGCTGACATGCCACCCTGATGCAAACCCAGAGGAAATGAGCAAATGCCATTGAGAGTGATGGAGAGAAATAGGAATGAGAGGTTTTGTTGTGAAATGTCTCCTACAGTGTCAAGTTCTGTCTTTGTTTGCTCATCCCAAAGTGACAATGTATTTCATACAATTAATGTCAGTGGTTTTCTTTCTGCCCTCCAGAGAATGCAACTTGTCTGTTTGTCAACAGTCATGTGACATCAGTTTGGTGCAGTATTGTGTGTCCACAAGCCTGCTAGTGATTGTACGTTTCCACCATAGCTTCAAAAAGACCTGTAGATTACAAGTAGAATGGATGGCCAGGTTGATACTTTTATTGCTTAGGAAATAGTCTGGGTTGATGTCTATGATGATATTTATCTCTTCGAATAGCTCTACCAACTTCACAAGAATTTTTTTTTTTGCACTTTACAGCAACTTCAACTGTTTGTCAGCTTGTATAACTGCTCCAAATAGGGGTGGCTAAATCGTGTGCATCCATTTCTAAAAGGAACCAGAGGACTCTGTCTCAGTGTCACATTCTTACATCCCTTATTTCCCAGATCGGCAGCTAGTGAGCATGAGATGGACACTTAGTAGGTCAGCTGAAGCCGTTTAGCTCAGGGGCTTCTTTCAGGATCTTTATAACAACAAAGGCTTAGTTTGGTTGAGCCAAAGCCACATTTTCCTCATCATCGTGAAATATTCTAAATTAATACCTGAACTAGACTAGCGGGGCTTTGAGAGATATTGAGGCAGTTGTGATCTGCCCTTTCAGCTTGATAAAAAAAAAAAAAAACTGTCAGCACACAGAAGAGGGAGATTATTTAAATGGAAATTAATGTCAGTGTCACACCTTATTCGACAGTATAACTCTATTTTGATAAAAATGTGCATGTAATTGGCTTGTAAGTTTCTGTTTCATGAACCTGGGCACCTTGCTTGTGTGTTTGTTTTTGTCTGTCAATGTGTTTGTGCTCCTCCCAACAGCGACGCCAACATCACAGACGTGCTGTCTGACTCAGACGAGTGTGAGTTGGGCAGTCTGGAGCATTTGGAGCACGGTAGCACCGACACTCTGGCCAATGGCTTCCGAGCTGACTATGAAGCTGCCAAAAGGCTCGCCAAGCGCCTTTATCACCTTGAGGGCTTCAAGCGTTGCGATGTGGCCAGACACCTGGGAAAGAAGTGAGCACATGCAAGCATGAATACTACTCACAAAAAGTTAGGGCTATGTGGCTCAAAGATTAACATAAAATGCACTACAGTATATCTTTTAAAGGTCAATTTAATTTGACTTTCTGTTAGTGCTCCCCCCACCACACACACACAATTTGCTATTCTCTGACTAGAAGGTGAAAGGCAAAAATCACAAACGGTGTTTTTTTTTTTCCCAAGGACATTCACTCCTCTCTCTCTCTCTCTCTGTCTGTAGCTCGATTGCAACCTGCTGATGACATTGTGACACGCTAAGCTTTCACTTACAATGGTGAAGTGCTGTTGATCAATTTTTGAATATTGTCTTGGTCTCATGATGTCAAAACATGAACAGCAGGATGAAGAGCAAATGCTAATTCAAATGGAAGCAGGAAATATAATGGAACAAACGCCTGTTGTAAATTTTGCCGTTCAGCTCATTGTTTGAGACTGTCAAGGTGGGCAAAACATACTGAAACATTGCAGAGCTTGACAAATCAGGTCAGATGAAGGTCACTCACCTGAAAGCTTATATTGTTACGTTTTTGAAAGTAGTGTATATGGATGTTGCAATATATTTTTCATTTGCCTTCTACTTTCTTGCAGTAATGACTTTAGTCAGTTGGTGGCATCAGAGTACCTGAGTTTCTTTGACTTCTCTGGCTTGTCACTGGATCGGGCCTTAAGGTAATGCACACAGCAGTCACACACGGTATGTGTGCCAGGGTAAAGACTCGTCCACAAGTGTGTGAATGTCACATTTGCTGTTCACAAGGCATTAGTGCTTATCAAGCTATCGTGTTCACTGGAGTTAGCCAGCGGCGCTGACAGCTAGCAAGCGCCCCACTTTCTTGTAGCTGACTTGTTGGTGTTCCAACACGCTGTCGTCAGACCGGCACCATGAAGCTCACAGTGCTCCTGAATATTTCACTACTGTTGCTAAAAGTGAACATTTTATTCAACTGTCAAAGCTATGGTCTTATTTGGCTCAAAAATCATATTTTGGGTAAGTTTTAGCTGATGCAGCGGTACTGTTCGCCATCTTACCTGCGGCCCTAATGAGGATAAAAAGGGATGAATGGATGGATTGGTAGGCAGCATTCATTTTTAACTAATGAAATATGGTTAGCAAAAATACCAGCGTAATTTTGAATGTTTCTTTTTTCAATAGACTAGCTTTGAGCTTCTGTACCTCCAGCAGCTCTTCATCAAAATATGAAACTGACCCTAAATTAATCCTACGTGCATTTTAACATTGAAAATAATCAAATAGAGGTACTGTGAACCCCTTGTTCATTGTGGTTTCAAATCCACCTGCATCCAAATTCATCCATCCATTATCTGAAGCGTTGATCCTCACGAGTGTCGCGAGCCTCTCCCAACTGTCATCGCGAAGTAGCAATAAGATCTGCTCTCTCGTATCAAGAATACACAAACCATAAAAATAATCATAATTTTTTTTCCCTAATCCCTTACACTTAAAACACATTTTAAATTCTTAGAACACACTTAAAAAGATTCAAATAAACTATTTAAACAAGGTGTAAATGTGATTGAAAACTACCTGGAAAAAATGGCAAGCATAACATGTATAGAAAATATTGTTCTTCCTGTCATTATAGATTGCTGGCATAAAAAAAACGACTAGTTTCCCTCAGGCACATCCGATGATTTGTTATGGCACACACATGTGGCGCGGAATCATCCACTGGTCTAGGTGGAGTACAACTTTGCGAGCGCATATAGTCCAAATGCAACACAAAATCCCAACTGTTAGGGCCTCAAACTGTTCCTCAATGGATTCAACCTGTTTTAGAAAATGGATCATCACTTTTCTTATGTTTTGAGAATTGTTCATAATCTTCGGCCAGAAGTTCAAAGGGGACAGTCATAACAGAATGTTTTTTTTGGGGTCAGGGGCGTGATATGTTGTGATGTAATAACCGGTGTTGTTTTCTTCTATTATCAAGTGTTATTGGCGTGAAGGCTCAGCAAAAACATCTCTCAGCGGTAACATGCAATCTTCAGAGAAAATGCAATTCCAAATCAAATTTTGGACGGTATCATGCGTGACCCCTTTGCCTTGTTTCTAAAAGCACGCTTGTCTGTATCTGTGACCTCAGACTTCTGATTTCCAGTTGGCCTTTTATGTGTGACAGGAACTTTTTAAAAGCCTTTCCGCTGATGGGGGAGACGCAGGAAAGAGAGCGAATTCTAGTGCATTTCTCCAAACGCTTCTGCCACTGCAATCTACAAACACTCACCTCTGAAGGTCAGAGCAATGATGTTGCCTTTGAGGAACTTAAGGAGAGCAAGATATTCCATACCATGGTCGCTGAGAATAACTTGGTTATGTAATGTGTATTTATACAGAGTTACTGTATACATTCACTTGGCACGACATTAGGTAGATGCGCAAATCTAATTTTAGGGGGTCGTTGGTTTACGACAGTCTCACTGTATGACATTTCAATTAGGTTACAAACAGCATGAGCCCTAACATTCCGTTTTTGTGTGGCACAAGAAGACATGTTCGATTGTTGCTGCACTTAATGTTTTGATTTGATTGTTTTAGTGTGTTTTTTTAATCTAAAAATATATATCCATAATTTTGACATTTCTAATAGTTGTGGACTTGTTGATGGAACAGTGTGTGTCATCATTCGGTACAAGAAGGCACGCTCACTTGCTGCCGTATTTCTGTTTCTCGTTTGATTGTTTTTTTTTTTCCTTTCAATGGCCCAGAATTGTAATTATGAGTCTAATACTGCTTTAGTATGTCTTAGTGATTATGTCGCCTTCCGACTTAAATAAAAATTTTTTTGGTTACATCCATTGTAAACTGAGGATGCCTAATCCCAATCCAACAATTTTATGTATGACAATATTTACCCCCAAAAATGTACATTTTAACATGTGGTTTGAAGACTAATTGAAGAAAAACCGTAGTGGTTTTAATGTAATAATGTGTTGCTAAATCGCAGTCTATGTTTCGACTTATTCTTGCCCCTCTCATGTAGCTGAATGAGAGAACTAAATATGTGTTAGCGCTGCTCAGTATGATGGCGTTGAATTCTACATCACGACAAATTGGAACTATAGATGACATAACACATTTCAGGTGTACCTAATGTTGTGGCCGGTGAATGTACAGTGTGCTGTAGTGCTTTAACAAAAAGTTTAGTTTATCACGCTGTGACATGATTGATGTCTGAATGCGTGTCACTTCACTGTAAGAGAATGCATGGCATCGCATGCATGTGTTTGTTCATGCGTGACACGAAGTTGACCTCAGCCTTGTGTGTCGTCCCTCTGCAGATGGAGCCCACACATTAACCTGCGCTCTCATGCTGCTTAACACAGATCTACACGGACATGTATGTGTTTCTGTTCTCATGTTTTCGGTCTTATGTAACCACCTTGCGTAGTTGCAAAATGCCAACAAAACAGGCCTTTGCCATCAATGGCAGATCTCATTTTTGATCGACGTGTTTCTGTCTTTCTAAAGTCACCCACCACTTCCTCCCCCACCCCTCGCTGACTCTCCTCACACTTGCCTCCCAGCCTACTTTTTGACCTGCTTCTGTCTCTCCTGTCCTTACATAGTCTCAAGTGTTCATTTTTAACTGGAGCATTGTGATGTGAACCACATAGCACAATCAGTAGTCATCAAATGCCCATGTTACCGAAAGTGCTCACATCAATCCTGCCCCTGCTAAACACTCGCGTAGTGAATCGCCCTCCTTTAACTAACATCCTTTCTCTTTTTTTTTTGGTTCCTTTTCTTCCCTTTCAAATCCTCCCCCTGCTCACCACATCCGGTTTCCTGGCCTCTCTCTGTCCCCGCAGGTGGTAAGTATTCCTCTGGTGCCAACGTTTGAATCGGTCCTTGTATTGTGCTCTCATTGGTTTCTCAACCAATGTCCCAAATTCGGTGCTTATGCTACTTGAGGTTCCAAATCAGCAGATGAAGCTGAATGACAGCAAATTTAAAAAAATGCCAATTCTCTCTTATATATACTTTATGAAAAACATATCACAAAAGATGGACAATAATAATATCCGCCTAATACATTTTAATCTGTTCATCGATTCTATGACCCATATGAATGGTATTGATTGTGTGAAATCAACAGATGATTAAGAATTTCTTGAAATGACCGAGCCGAATGTAGTGCAGGACCATGAGAGGCGCTGTTGATTGCATCTCGACTAGTTTGCATTCTCATCAGTTATGGGAGGTTGTGCTAAACCCTCACAGAAAAGTAGTTCAGCACAACAGATTCTCTCATCATAATTGGGGAAAAAAAAAATCATCGGTCACTCATGGAAATTTAGTTCAATGCCCATCCCTAATTTTACAGCACACCTAAACATTGTGGTGGGGGATGATTAAGTATAATTTGAAGCATTTAATATGTGTGTGTATAATTTGTGAACCACTTAGCGCAGGTGGGAATATGACACATCAAAACCAAGTACAATCTTGTCAAATACAAGCATGAGCATTGGGAAGATAAGCACTGCCACCAAGTGGACAGATGCACAACTGCATTCAGTTTGGGCCCTGTCAAAGCTATTTTAGGAGCCGGTTTACCGTCTTCAGCGTTGTTGACGCAAAATTACACCACTAACTGTCACACTTTTGACTTGTTCTTTCCTCAGAACATTGGAAAGAAGATGTCTTGCCAACAGTTTATCAGTAATCTAGATGGCCTCAACAATGGCAATGACTTTCCCAAAGACCTATTGAAGGTACAGCACTCACCTTCTCCCGAAAGTGTGCAGCTACCTCAAAACATGCTTTATGCTCGCAGGAAGATTTTGTCACACCAATGTTCTGCCTTCCCTGCACAGGTCTTGTATAACTCAATCAAGAACGAGAAGCTTGAGTGGGCTGTGTGAGTATGCTCTTAGTTCTGCTCCAAAAGACAAGCCATCACTATGCGCATCTCCTGTTCATCTTTTTTTTTTTTTTTTTTTGCTGTGTGCAGTGAAGAAGAAGAGCTAAGGAAGAGCCTGTCAGAGCTGGTGGAGGAGCAGTGTGAGGGCGGCAGTAAACGTGTTGCCAGGGTAACGGACAGCAATAACCCTTTCATCGCCATTCCTGTCCTCCTCAATGCTGTAACCTACAAACACGGAGTGCTGACTCGCAAAAGCCATGCTGACATGGATGGCAAACGGAGTGAGTACATAAACGTGAATTTACCCATCCTATAGACTGTACGGGCAGTTTGTTTAATCTGTATATTTTTATTTTGTGAAAATGTATTCTTGTATTGTGAATCATTGAGACAATCCTTTTCTAATCTCGCTCCCATTTCTACGATGCAGCCCCACGGGGTCGCCGCGGCTGGAAGAAGTTCTATGCGGTTCTGAAGGGAATGATACTGTATCTCCAAAAGGTACTGCATCCCACCCGTTTTCCTTGTTGCCATAGAAACTCTCTCACACACACACACACACAGGCACGCACGCACGCACAAAACTGCGCGTCACTGATGTGGTGGATGCTGTCCAGTGGTTCTACTGCACTGTGGTTTTTTTTGTGCTTGGGCGAGTGAGGCAGAGGCAACTGTCGTGTGTGTTTGTCTCTCTCTGCTGGCGATAAGCCTTTATTGCAACATAGGCAAAGTAAGGCGGCACGGTATACTTTGGACGTCTAAATCACAGTTCTGAAGATCCAAGCTTGAACCTCAGCTTCGACCTTCCTGTGTGGAGTATGCACTCTTCTCAAGCTGCTGGGGCTTCCCCCCACTTATCAAAAAATGCATGTTAGGTTAATTGTAAACTGTATGTTGTCCATAGGTGTAAATGGGAGTATTGAATTGTTATTTTCCTGCGAGTGGCTGCCAAATCTCTGCCCAAAATTAACAGGAGTTCAGTAGATTGATGGCGACTTTTCATGTTTTCTTGACATTCAATTATGAGGACTGCGAGCGTTAGCCTTCCCTGGAACATTACAGACATTTCATAAACATTTACTTCTTTCCTTTTCTGATACATGAAACTGAGTGTATACCTAACATACTACATGGCCGACAATTTGTCTCATTCAGGATGAATATAAACCAGATGCTGACATTTCAGAGGTGGACCTGAAGAATGCCGTGCGGATCCACCACGCCTTAGCCACTCGGGCTACCGATTACAGCAAGAAAGCCAATGTACTCAAGCTCAAAACCTCAGACTGGAGAGTTTTTCTGCTACAAGCCCCGTGAGTAAATTCAGAAGACTAGTTAATTTGCCTTTCCCTAATCCTTAATCAGCTCATCGCTGTGCTCTTCCTCTTTAGGAGTGAGGAGGAGATGATGTCGTGGATCTTCCGAATAAACCTGGTTGCAGCACTGTTCTCTGCTCCAGCCTTCCCTGCTGCCATTGGCTCCATGAAAAAATTTTGCCGGCCCATCCTTCCGTCGTCATCAACAAGACTCAATCAGGTACACTGGATCGTTTTTTGTGTGTGTGTGTGTGTGTGTGTGTGTGTGTGTGTGTGTGTGTATTTCCCCACCCTCCCAAAAAATGAAAATATACAAAGAAAAAAAATCTAAATAGCATTGTCACATTATTTTGGAAGGTGTGTGTGTGTGTGTGTGTGTGTGTGTGTGTGTGTGTATAAAGTCATCTAAACCTTATTTTAAATTTCCAGTACAGCATAACCCCTTTTTCAGCTTACTGCTAATAACAAAGCTTCTCACATGTCTTTTATATTACATTGCCGGTACATACTTGGCGGATCTTCTGTAATTTGCCCGGCATGTGATTGGTGCAGGAGGAGCAGCTGCTGAGTCACGAGAGCAAGTTGAAGCAGATGAGCCTGGAGCTGGAAGAGCACCGGAAAAACCCGCCCTCATCTGACCCCAAAAGCCGCGAATGGGAGGAGTATCGGCTCAAAGAGCACTACCTCACTTATGAGGTATATTCGGATTTTTTTATTTTTATTTTTTTTAACAATCTATTGCGTTTGTCATTTGTTACGTGATTATGCTGTTGATTTCTTGACAGACACTCATAATATTGGGTACACAGTTGGATCAATCAAACAAAAAAAGTAATACTCACCTTTGAATGACCCTGTCACAAAGGGATGCTAGAAATATACAATACCAGTTATTTTGTGGGTGGGGCTGGTTAAATTATATTGGATTACAAGTAGATCGTTCTTGGACCAAAAAGGGACCTGCTAACATCTGGACAATCAACCACACACATACCGTGCGCCTTGATTTGTAAATTGTACTGGCTCTCAAGAGATTGTGCTGTGTTTGTATGATTTCATAATAGGCACAAAAATCTCTTCTTTGGCATTAAAATACAGTGGTACCTGGACCCGAATTCGAAATACTAACTGTTGCTTTGCCTATTTTTTGCTTTGGCTTGCGAGCAATCGTTTGAGATATACGCGCCTGATGGTGGCAGTGAATTCAACTCATTTCACAAAAAGCAGCAGTTTGGCACACTGTGAACAGTTTTTTTCAAAACAGAGGCTCCTAGCTTCTTTTTTTTGCCACTTCTATTTGGAGTTTTCATGTGATACAAAAAAAAAGAGAAGTAACCTTTGCCTTTCCAAAGTCTGCTCGAAAAGTGCGGTGCCACACTTAAGCAACAAATCTACATAGCAGCACAAAGGATTCAGCAGCACACGCAGAGAGTAGGGTGGTCCATTTTGGAAAAGTTTGTCGGATTCGTCGGGCCGGGTCGGAAATCTTGTCGATACTATGACACAAGGATGTGTGCAAAATTTTATTCCGATCGGATAATTTTATCCCGTCCCGCAGAGCGACCAAAGTTTCCCCTATGGAAAGAATGTTACGGGGCTGAATGGTAGTACGGTTTCTCCCGTACAGTAAGGACTTTGTTTTGCTCAGTTCGCACTTGCAATAATTCAAAGACGGAAGACAGGAACGCATGTATTGCAAAAAAGGCAACCGTGGTTATCCTTCAACACTGGTGAGATTGTTGGTCCATGTTAACTGGTCCATCTGTCTATCTGTCCATCTGTCTATAATGTCCATCAACACTAGTGACACTGTTAGACCGCAAAAAAAACGAAATCCGCCGTGCGTGCCATCCCATGCCTACTTCGCGCACGGGTGCAACGCCCGGTGTCGCTCCACGACCTGCAGAAGGTGCTGTCGCTGTTCCTCGTCGCGCGTAATGGCGCCGCAGAACGCGCTGATGAGGGCGACGCCCCTCTCCGCAAAGTC